TAAGAATCATTTCTAATAATATCTTAAAATCACCTTCCTCGTGGGATCGATATTTTTTATACTATAACTTGATAAATTGTGCACTTGCAATTTTGGTACATAATTATGCCGCATCAGAAGGTTCAACGACTGGTACCGAATCAGTAAAGTCGAAGTTGTTGTCCAATTGACAATCACGTTCATCTTCAACGATCATGTTATGCATTATGATACAAGCTGTCATGATATCTTTCAGCACACAAGGTTGCCAGAAACGTCCTGGTCCACGAACAATCGCAAATCGAGCTTGCAACACGCCAAAAGCTCGCTCAACATCTTTTATTGAGCTTTCTTGTTGTTGAGCAAAGTACTTATGCTTGTTTCCTCGAGGTTCTGGAATAGTCTTCACTAATGTGGACCACTCTGGGTAAATCCCGTCGGTGAGATAGTATCCTATATTATACTCGTGACCATTGACAATATAGTTGCACGGTGAAGCTCTTCCCTCCGCAAGTTGTGCGAAAACCGATGAACGATGTAGAACATTAAGGTCATTGTGAGACCCCGGTAGTCCAAAGAAGGCATGCCATATCCAAAGATCTTTGCTAGCTATGGCCTCCAAAATAATTGTAGGTTCATGAAAATGTCCAGTATACATACCTTGCCAGGCAGTTGGACAGTTCTTCCATGTCCAGTGCATGCAGTCGATGCTCCCAAGCATACCAGGAAAACCTCGTTGTGAGCCTTCCTCGAGCAGGAGTGCAACGTCTTCATTAGTCGGTACACGAAGGTATTCCTCTCCAAAGATGTTGATAATCGATCGAACGAACCTCTTCACGCTCTCAAGCGACGTACTTTTACCGATCCGAACGTAGTCGTCAACGGAGTCAGCGGATGCTCCATATGCGAGCATCCGCATAGCTGCAGTAATATTTTGAAGACTAGATAGTCCTAACTGTCCAGCACCATTCCTCTTTTGGATGTAGTACTTATCATGTTCGACGACTGCGTCGTGGATTCGAAGGAATAACGAACGCCTCATTCTGAACCTTTGACGAAAATAATAAAGAGGATAGGTTGGTGCGTCAGCAAAATAATCTTGGAACAACCGATTGTGGCCTTCCAGTCGGTTTCGATGGAGCACGATACGTCGTTTGTGTTGAACTGAAGTTGAACATTTCTCTTGTTCTTCTTCCTCAACGACAGCAACTCCCATAAGAAAGAACGTCTTCATCATTTCATCATCGCTAGAGCTAGATGAGCTAGATATTTTATTCTGGGAGATGATGGGTTGAGGAGAGAAGCCATCGAATTTTATAGGAATCAGTTAGTTGACGGTCAAAGTTTGCGATACCTCGAACTTCGTGCCCAACCTCGAAGACCGCGGGTTACCTCGAAGACCGTGTGCGTTCCCTCGAAAGTCGCGGGTTACCTCGAAGACCGCGTGCGGCGCTCCCTCGAAGACCGTGGGTTGTCTCGAAGACCGTGTGCGCTCCTTCGAAGGCCGTATCCAACGGTTAGAAATAAAATACAAGAGGTTTAAATATAATTAAAAGTAATGGGTAAAATATTAAAATAGAAGAGGGGTTTTTTTGATATTGTTGGAGCTCCTAACTAGGAGCTTGTTGGAGCTCCATAAAAGAAGGAGTGCCTCCCAAGGCTTAATTTGTTAATTTTTTATTCTAAAATGCTTGAGAGCTCTTGAGAGCATGCTGACTAGGACTTCCAACTGGGAGCTTGCTGCACTTGCTCTAATAATGCGGACCAAAGCCAGCTCCACGTATAAACTTAAGAAACTCGGTTTTCAACTGGAAAACAAGCGGAAAAAAAAAAAAAAAAAAAAAAAAAAAAAATCTAACAACCAAATTAAGTTGCAATCCACCATACATAAATTTGGACATAAACTGCACTGTCGTTATTTCGTTATTTTAGCAGCAAAAAGAAATTTAAAATTACAACTTCAATTGCAAAACTTTTAAAATTATAAAGAACGACGATTATAATTGCTGTAACTGACATTTGCGTTAACAACCAGCTAAACTGAATATTCAAATAATTGGTTAAAAAAAAAGTTGGATCCATCTAATCTTCGGATGTGGACATGGATATCAAATTATCCTATCTATAGACATATGAATATGAATATGCATGTAAAATCAGTTGTTTGGAATACATAAGAATCTGCTTATTCCATTTAGATAATATACCCTTAAATCAACTATCCATTAGCCCATAATCAATGATGATATCCTCATTATTCATGTAGATGTTATCCTATCCTTGGTCACACTAACTTAATATATATAATCCTTTATCATATATAGATTATTGATAGCTAAGCATTGATAAGATCCATTTTATTATACTGAATATGATTAATACCATAAAAATGATATAACGTGTGTAGAAAGTATCTAGGATGTATATTACTCATGAGTGTGGCTGAAGCCCATCTCCTTGGATCCATAATGCAGATGCTTGTCACACCAGTTTAGAGCAGGTCCAGCAAGCTCCGAACTCAGCTCTGAAGGCTGACGTGGCGATGGTTGTTGCCAATCCCCCCTCCAGCAAGCTCTGAAGCCGCTCCCAAGGCCGGTCTCCGTTCCTACGTGGCGATGGCTTCCTTCAGAGCTCCCAAGCGCTTCACAAATTTGTGGAGCGCTTGGGAGCTCCCAACTGGGGTGACATTTTACAAACCCCCCCCCCCAAAAGGCCGCTCCCAAGGCCGGTCTCCGTTCCTACGTGGCGATGGCTTCCTTCAGAGCTCCCAAGCGCTTCACAAATTTGTGGAGCGCTTGGGAGCTCCCAACTGGGGTGACATTTTACAAACCCCCCCCCCCAAAAG